CTATTGCTATTACTATTACTATTGCTAGTACTATTACTATTAATATAACTATTGCTATTGCTATTCATGCTACTATCTATTGCTATACTACTACTAGTACTAGTACTAGCACTAGTACTAGTACTAGTACTAGTACTAGAACTGTGACTATTACTACTATTGCGACGACGACGACGACTAGTACTACTGTTACTGTACTGCTACGACTGCTACGACTCCTGCTGCTGCTAGTGCTATGCCAATGATGATAGTCATGCCGCTGATAACTATGTTACAATCTTGCGCATAACAAAAACAATAGTATTGATAGTAGTCAAAAGGAATTAGAACAGTGACAATACAAATATTCCTGCTGTCATTACAGTAGTAGCAATCATAATGTTAGTCTTAGTACTTGTAACAATATTTACTCTAATATCAGTGAAGTGAAGCTCAATATTAAGTATTAAGATTGACTCGAATATTAATGTCGCATGAATATATCATTTCATCATAGCAATGACAAGAAAATCTCTTAAAGCTATAGCTACAGACTACCAGCGCCCAAATTGACCCAGTTGAAGGTGTGCATGGACAAGGGCCGGGCGATTCAACGCAAGACGAAAGACAGCCTGCACTGGTGATAGTAGAAGTATAGGTAAAGTAGGATGTGTAGTCCGAGCTGCCATCCTGGTAGAATGTCTGTGTACGAGAGATATCCAACGACCAACGCCATAAGTGTGCCACCCACGCATGCAGCACGCCCGTTTTTGAGCATGAGTAGCAGCCACACCTGCAGCGCGAAATGCGGCAAGCTATCCGTTGTGTGTAGACAAGCGCAGACCCCTGAAAGAAGAAACTCAAAGCGACAGAACCTGACTACCACAAGCAGTTCGAAGGAAAGTCCACTGCATTTGCCGCACAACAATGTGTATTTGTTTGCGCTCTCTGCCACAGCGTGACTTCGAACCGTAGCGGTCACTCAGGTGCTTTTGAGGCCCCAAAGCCATCCCAGCTCGAAGCCCGAACAGAGAAACCGAGGACAGGCTAAAGGTTTAAAGTTTAAGGCTCCCAGACGGGAACCTCCATAAGTGCCCATCGCCAAAGCCCCTGGCCCCAAAAGCCCTCAGCAGTTCAATGCTCCAAAGCTTTGCCAAGCTGGGCGAGGCTTTGGAAGCTTTGGGAGCCCTGAGGGTTTTGTTTACTCCTTGAGCTGGCTCGAAGGGGTTGGATGCGGAGGTCAGGTCCCGGGCTTCCTTTCCAGGTTTCTGGGGGATTTGTAGGACTGGCTGAGTTTGAGATTGTTGGGCAGTTGCGGCGCCAGGGGTTCGAGGGGCTCGAGAGTATGTGTGGATCCTCCCTCCCATATCCGAAACACCCTGAAGGCTCGGCTTCGAGATACGGCCTTGAAAAACAACATGCTCTGCCAGCTGTGCGACCAGAACTCATCGATGGAGTCCACCTGCCGCCCGTTCGAACAACATCGAGTTCACGATACGGGACCTGATATTGCCTCTTCCGACTGATCGAACCATCGTCACCGTCCTCCTCCTCCTCCTCATCATCATCAACACCATCGTCGTCGTCGTCATCATCATCATCTTCATCAACGTGTCCCATTACCACAAGGGTGCACGTAACACGCGCACAGTAATAGTTGCGCGAGCGATAGCATTGACGATGCAAGACGTAGCAACTCAAAATGGTTGTGTCCGATACTGTCCACTAGCAGGAGGGTGAGGAGTACAGTAATTGGAGTTGCCATACAACGCCAGCCGGGCTTGGTAATCCACTGGTAAGTGGTGCTTATGCAAGCGGCAAAGGGGGATGACCTGCCGAAACTTCCAAAATGCCATGTAGAGGTAGAGCAGCGCAACTTTGCTGATGCTGGTTGCAGTGACCCATCAGGTGCCAAAACAGATCCAATGCTTGTCCAGAGCGACCCGGGTTGAGACATGCTTTTTGTCACACCACTCGCACGGCAAACGCTGTGGCGGAACCAAAGGCAAAACCAAGCTTTTCTGATTTCACTATGTCGTGGCCGTCGTCGTCCTCTCTTCAATGTCTCGCCACTTCCATCGACATGACTATCACCATCTATCATTACTACCACCACCAACATCATCACCATCATCATCTTCATCTTCATCTTCGCCTTCATCACTACCGCTATTATCACCAGCATCACGACCAGCACTCCATATCAACCCATCTCGCCATTATCCCACCACCATAACCACCACCACCATCATCATCATCACCATCATCATTATCACAATCATCATCATTATCACCATCATCACCATCACCATTATCATCACCATCATCGTCGAAATGTTTTCTCCAGAATCGACGTAAGCATCTTCCTCGTCGTCGGCAGCACGAAAAATAATGCTCACATTGTTCAGTAGCCGCTGGCATCGAATTCACTAGAATGACTTAAGCTCTGGGTTCTTCGGGTTCACGGGCCAAGGCCGCGTGTACTTGCCTGGGAACTGAGAGAGTAGAGCTCCTCTGGATCCATATGGCTTCCTCGGAGAACTTGGCCGAAGCTTTTCAGTATTGCCCAGGCCGGTGCGGCACGGACGAAGCTGGCACCGGTATCACCTCGGATTGGTTCACGGTTCTCAACCGTAAAGGTTTTAACTTCGCTGGAGTGTGGGGGACGCCCTTGAACGTGACACCTGAATCAACTCCAGGTACTGTCCATGGAAGACACTGCTTTCACCACTATCTCCTGCTCCACTGGATCGAACTGTCGTCGTTGCGGTTGCTCCTTCGGGGCATCTACGTTTGCTTGGGCTTGTGCGGAACCGCATGCAAAACAGCAGCGACAGCACACGGTTCTAGTGTCCGGCAACGGATCGGGCGAGCTCTCCTTCTTGAAGCATGGGGAACCACCGTCGTTAATCTCCGGCCCTTGTCGGTCGATGTTTACACCTTCCGGTGTGATTGGCGGTAAATCATCATCGGCTGCCATGGCTGTCTAAAGACGAGAAAGCCGAGCAAAAAACTGAGACTCTGCCTTAGGCAGGCGGTCTCGCTTCAGCTTCTGAGCCGATTCTGGAAAGACGCCCAATCAATCTGTCTGGATTCTTGGTCGAAGGTTGCAGGGCTCATTGGCTCAGTGGCTAGCGTATCCGCGAGTCTTCTGGATATATTCCGTGTTTACTGCCGGGAGACGAGCGATGCTCTTGCAGTTCCCGGCTTGGTGACAGACCCCATAGTGTTCATGGGAACGTAGGACTGGGTTTGGGTTCTGCAGGGCACACGCCTAGTTGATGATGGCAGGCGAAGAACTGCGTGCACCCGAATACAGGGAGGCAAGGGCTCCGGGCACTTCTGGAGCAGAAGAACAGATGGGCGTCGCTGATGATTTACGTCGACTAAACATGCAATTCACCCCACCATCCCCCCAAGGAAACAAAAAGAAACACCGCAAATCGCCTGAACTCAGAATTTCAACCCCTGTTCTATCTCTGTCGCTGCCTGCCATCCCCACGGGGCTAGCTCGCTTTTGACTAAGTCGGGTAATCATGGCTCGGAGCCATGCTCAGAACCGACTTGATAACGACAACAACCAATATGACAATTATAGTGAGAACAGAACCACACCACGACGTGATGACACTTTTCCAGCTTCAGCTGCGTCCTAGAACCCATGACCTTTACACAAGATATACTTACACTCCCAAGCAAGGACCACTTGTCGCTAGACTTGAGGTTGCAGCGGACCGTGACTCCTGTTTTTCTCTGCCGGGGAACTGCCCAAACTCGAGGTACAACTATAGTTACGGCTGGAACTATGCGTGCAAAAGGTGAAACCTTTCGCAGTAGCATACAGGGGCTGTCCGAGAAGGCATCCACAACCCAGCCTCTTGCCAGCTTGTGGAGGCACACAACCCCGACCCATTGCATGCGGCTCAACCCCTTAAGTGTGGGCCGTAGCCGACACCTTGAGAGCGGAAGCTTTGAGGCTACAAGGTACTATCGGATTGGCTCCGGGCCTCGGTGCAACAGGCACGTAACAAAGCAGACTCATAAGAATGGCCAAGACCTCACTCGTAAACCGACGTTTCTCGTCCGAAACTGTCCGAAACTGTTGCGGAATTCTCGGCCACCCACAATCAAGTCACCCATTTGGGCGATGCTTCGATCCGGCTGCAATGCAGGGAGGCTTCCGTCAGCAGAACCGAACTTCACGTCTGCTCAGGCGAAACGATGGATTAGACGACAATGTAAAGGAGTGCCTGCACCTTCTGACAGAAACCATGTAGTACATACATACATACATACCTACGTACGTACGTACGTACGTACGTACGTACGTACGTACGTACGTACATACATACATACATACACACATACATGAATACATGCATACAAACAAACAAACATACATACATACACAGGTACGTACGTACATACATACATACATACACATACATGCATGCCTGCATGCATACATACATACCTACATATGTGCATACATGCATGCATACAGGGTTTGTGCACAAGTATAAAAACAAACGAATAAGTAAACACATACATACATGCACATATACATATGTCTGTACTTATCTGTACATGTACGTATAACGCACCCGCCCCCTCAGTCCACAACAACAACAAAAACACAACCAAAACAACAACAAACAACACAGCCTGCAGTACTCTGCTGGCCCGTGCAGGCTCCAGCATGTAGAAGGATTCCGAGCGCGACTCTACTTCTAGAAGTACTACACAGTCTTGTACAGGGACAGCATTTCCTCGCGTATCCATGCGATGCAAGTAAGTATGAGTTTTCAACTCTCAATACCAGATGTCTGACCAATAGTCGGTAATGCATGTATAGATATGTACATATATCATGTCTACATCTATACAAGTACACAGACATATATTTGTATATATATATATATGCATACGTATACATGTATATGTTATTGCTTCTGTTCGAGCTCGTAACCGATGCTGGACCAATGTGTGCTCAAGGTTTCTAAGGTTTTTACCTCATATTCGAATACTGCCCAATTAACAACATGTATCATATTCATGAACATCTGATATTCAACTTCTACTGGAATAGCCATCAGTTGCAGTAGCACTACGGAGACAGGTTATCATGCAGCAATTACGGCGTACTCTCATTTCTTAGTCACAACCGCATAATTCGGAAGGAGATTTTGCTGAACATGTGCAAACATGCGAACCAGGCATCCGTTAGCCACTGAGTCATGACATGCTATGTGCATAACTTTAGGACTGCGTGATCGAAAAATGGTTGCACAATAGTGGCAACATTCGCAAGAAGTGACAAAAGCATCTACTGCTGCACTTACATTCCTTCTTAACTAGCCGCTGGTTAACAATCAGCACTATTGCGCTAGCATTTGTTGTGAACTACAGCGCGACATCGCCCAGTCAATAAGAACTGGTTCCGGAGAACGTGTTTGTGATGTGGACAGTCGGTTTAGGCCTGTTGTTTAAGCTTCTAGTAGAGATGCTTGGGGTCTCCAGTTTAGGGGCTTTCCGGCTTCTGGTCCAAGGAATGCTGTTGAGACGGTATACGAACGGCCAAGGGCCCATCTAGGCAACTCGGGGCTACTGTACTTTGGGGTATCGTTCTCGTATCGTTCCGTCCCATTTGGGGACGTCGTCTAATTTCCAGAGCTTCATCTCGAAAACCTCCACACCCCTACTAAACCTCAATCTCCCGAGACCCTCTTGAACGAAACGAGGAGCGAAGATTATCATGGAAACATTGCTGTATGGAGGGTATCGTCTTGAGGGCGTCCCCTGTCGTTTCACAGGTCACGGCTAGCATTTGCCATCTTCGGCAACCGCCTGCCTTAAATCCAATATACGATAAAATTTTGACCCGAATCACATATAGATAAACACATAGATAGGTGGACAGATAGATAGATAGACAGATAGACAATAGATAGATATGCTCGAGTCTCTCTCTCTCTCTCTCTCTCCCTGCATATGTACACACACAGACACACTCTCTGTATATACTGTACACATATGGCTTTCTGAGTGTCTACTGTGTACACTCTACTTACCATGTGCGGGCGAGGATGCTTGGCACTGCTTCTGTGTGTGCACAGCACGCAGCTACCCAGCGCAGCTGTGGATCACCAGGACAGCGACTCCCTTTCCCTTGCAGTCCCAACAAGACTTTGCGCCGGCTCCTTTAGTAATACAGTCATCCAGATATCAAGAGCTCAACTTGCTCATCCCATAATGTGACACGCACAGTTCGCAAGGGATGATCAGCGCATATCAGTCACCCTGGCAACGGAGGCCGTTACGTTGCTTGTGCACCGGGGCCCTCTTTGGGAACGGTGGGTTGTGGGCTACCGACATAAACATCTTCAGAGTTCGCTCTTACTAGAAGAGATCGCTACACAGCCAGTTCGGGTTTTGTGATTTTGAGCGGTAGGGCGCTGACCTCGTTATTCTCCATGGCCTTTCGAAACGCTGCTCGTGGCTGGGGATCAAAGAGTGCATGTCCCGGGCTCATTGACTTACTGCCAAGCACGGGGGTAGCCGCTATAGTTGCAGCCGCAGGCTTTTGGGGCAACTCATTACTTTCAGCATCCAGCATTTAGCATGAAGATTCAATGAAGATGAGACCGCTGTCGTAAAGTCGTGCATGGCGGCATGAAGATCGCCTGTCACTGGGCTCCCATCTATACAGATTGAAAGCGAGATTTCTTTGCATATGGCGGCTGCTGGCCATGACTGGATGCTCCTCGGCCCACAGGGTTGTGCGACGCATCGGAAACGCGGGTTGTGTGCTTATATTGCCAGGCTCTGACAGTTTGTTTATGATTGATTATGTGCATTCCTACACAGCTTTAAGCATGAGACTTTTGGTGACATGCGTGTCTTTGCCCAGCAAGCACACTTCACAAAGAGGCTGCGGATCGTGTTTCTGCCTTGGAAAAACAATCGTGCTCCTGCCACCATTGTGCACAGAATTTGGGTGGGACGATTGTTCCCGCCACAGACCGGTGCATGCTCTGGTGTGCCAATCGTGCTCCCGCGAAAGTCTGGTCGCATTTTGGACTAGTGGGGTGGTCTGTGCAACGGCTGTTTGTGATTGGCTGCTGTCGCAAACCTTGCTTGAACACTATCCAAGTTTCTGCCCAAGCCTGAACGGGAAGGTGGCAAGCATGAAGCATCCATGAAGCCAGGCCAAGCAGCATTGAGAACAGCTTCCCAGAGGTTCTTGTGGAGCTGCTCGGTCTCTGCCCTCCTGCAACAGAAAGGTGATCCGCACCGTCTAGAGCGCAGCACCCCTTCGAGCAACAAACCAAGCGAGACGAAGCAGGCTCGCCAACAAAGCAAGCGAACAGTATTAATAATCGTAATACTAATAGTAATAGTAATTGTAATAGTAATAGGTAATAGTACTAGTAGTAGTAATAGCAATAGCAATAATAGTAATAGTAATAATAATAATAACAACAATAATAATAAGAATAAGTCAGCCCGCCAAGCTGGCCGGAGTTGGTTTCGGATGGTCTTGAAGCCTTGTCTGAGAATACTGCCAGACCTGAGGATTGATTTAGAAGGGTTGTTGGAACCTTCCGTGACCCTCCTAAGCCCTTTTTGATTGTTTTCTGACACCAATCAAACCCTTGAACCCTCCCTGCACAAGGATCATCACGACCACCACCACCACTACCAGGACCAGCACAGAAGCAACTGCAGCAGCAACAACAATCGCCCCTTTCGGCCTCCTATGATGCGCCGCGCCACGAGGAACTGCCAGCTGGAGCATAGCAGCTGCAAGTCGCTTTTGTTTCCCTGAGTTTGCAGTGACCTGAGAAGCATATGACAGACCGCACCCGTTCCCCTCTGTCCGACACTTTTTGTTTGGTCCTGTTACAGGTACCGGACCAAGAGAGCACGACACCTGAAAGTCTGCCTTGCAGGAGCTTGCAGAATGTCAAGAACTCCGTCGAGCCATCGAATTCGTTCTATGCAATTCTTCGGGCTGGCTTTAAAAAGCGTGGTCGACACCCAGATGAGAATCCAGGACCAAGGTCTGATGAGAATCTGCCTACCAAGTCGTATCACGTCGTATCAGGAGACTCACCTGATGCCAGAACTATCTGAAGCTGCTTTAGCGCAAGAAACTAGCTTCCCTCTCTCACGGTGCACGTTGCCGATAAGAGGGGTGCCCAGGGATCCACGACCGGACTTCCCAGTGATTGCCCTGCATATGGCTTTCTCTGCAGAAATCCTCTCAGCAGTAGCAGACAGTCTGCAATCGTCTATTATTTCAAGAGCTGACCCAGGGCGGCTGCATAATCTTCAGAAAAGACCGGGCATGTACCCCAATTCTGCCCTGAGCCATCTTGTACCATGAAAGCTTTTGGACCGGCTGTTGGTCTGTCTGTCAGTCTCTCTGTGCATGTGCTTGGCTGTGTCAGCTTCGCTCGTTTAACCCTGTGGCCCAGGGACGGCCCGGCTGTGAACTTTGAAACTGCGGCAACCCAGAGTTGCCTCTGAAGCAAAGGATGACGAGTCAACCGTCAAGAGTATTGTTCAGACTGTATCCCGCTGTCCGAAGCGTACTTATGCTTAGAAATAGGCGGAATCCGGCTGAGGCATACTCCCGCCAAACGCATCCCTCGGCTGATTCTGGGCTCCACCCATTGTCAGACTTGCAGGTCGCATGGCTTCAGTCAGCGTAAGTGTCGTGCTGGAAGTGTCCCATATACCTGATAGTGCATTGAAGCTTCACCGTTGCATCGGTGCTTACCAGACACCTAGCGACGTAGTGGCGACTGTTGGAAACCTTGCTGAAATTATTCGTCGACTGAAGCAGGCATTGCAGCTCAAAGTTGGCTGGGGAAGGCAGTGAGACTCAGCAGTTATCGCACCTAACATGTCCTGAATGAGCTCGGAAATACCTCGACTCGCCTCCTGCCCCAAGGTTGAGTCTCTTCAGGGATTGGGAACGACTGCGATGTATGATCCCACAACCCTGTAAACGGAAGCGATTCTCTGACATGCTCCGGCAACGCTTTCTCACAGCTGCCGAGGTGGGTGGTGCTGAGACGCAACGTTCAATGACCACTATAGCACGTCTGTGCAGCAACAGGGAAGCCAACCATACCTTGCATACTGCGGATGCAAAACTGACACTCGTAAGTCAGACACGTGCCTCGGGACGTGCTTGCTGCGGGACGTCTTCGGCTATGCGTCCTGCAGTGCTGCAATGGGCATGACCGGACCATCCTGACGTTGGTGCTCACTCAAGCTCTAGTGTCTCTTGTACCTCACCATGTCGATCTCAGCTTCAATGTCGAACTGCCCTGAACAGAAGTCCAAGCTGCATCGCGGCGGTAAGTTAGACTACTGTAGTCCTCATGCTCAAGCTATGCGGCGGCTTCGGTGTTCGACCTAAGTTGTCTCAGATTTGCGGCTAGCAAACTCCACCGGCAAGTCAGGCCAGTATCACGAGATGGCGTGATGCTTAGCTTTGTGCTCTGACCAAGCTCCATACGAAGTCTAGCTTCGGCGCAGGCTCAGCCGATTCCAACAATTGAAAGGGTGCAGCAGCTTGGCAGTTGAGTTGTCAGAATCGGATGCGACATCGCAGCATCCCAGTCTCAACTGACAAGGGCGACAACAGCCAATAGAAGAACTAGCACTCCTGCGGTAAGACTTCATGAACCTTGAATACAGGCTGCAACGGAACACGCCTAGTACAAGACAATCCGAATGTTGTTTCGTCCTAGAATCCGGCCGAAACTGTGCAGTGGATGCCGTATTTCGGGGTGCAATCTGGACTCCTCTTGCACGGCAAACTCTTTTATGGTTTAAGGTCGCCTCCTGTTTACTTCGCTCCTTCAATGTATCGTGCTTCTGGACTTATGGATGTGGTAATGCCACGCCCTCGGGGCAATGTTGCACGGTGACCTTTTCGAAACCGACAAGGAGGGGATGTGCAATCGGCCAAGCGCAGTGATAGAAATTCTGATCGAAATCCCACCCAAGAACCTATACATATCTAATTTAAGACCCTGCGGCCCAAACCAGCCTGTAAATATTCCTAGGAATTCCGAACATGTCTTCCAGCCAAAACGCCGTCTGCCGCTAGGCGAATGTCAGAGACCGAAAGCTCCTGCTCGGTTTTAATGATCGGTTCGAGGCAGGGTTTAGGGTTTAGGAGCTGCCATTTCGAGTTTAACGCTCTGAGGTCTTGGGATTTTTGGCTCCCACATAAGGGTTCATGGCTTCGGCGCTCACAACTCGGATCATCCAGGCGAGGCATGTGTCGAGCATAAGGGCTGTAGAGCTTAATGTTTCAGGGTTGAGCGCACTCCTATTACTAGCACTGGCAGGAACTAGTGCGAGTACTACTACAACAACTGCAATTTAACAACTACTACAGCAGCAACACTGCTCCTACTCCTTCCCCTGCTCCTGCTTCTGCTCCTGCTATGACTACTGCGACTGCTGCTGCTGCTGCTGCTGCTCTGACTGCTACTTTGCTGCTACTGCTACTGGCACTGCCTACTGCTAACAGCTGCTGCTGCTACTACAGCTCATGCTACTGCTACTACTGCTGCTGCCGCCATGACAACTGCGCACTAAGCTACGGCGATTACGACCACGGCGGCTATTACACAGCCAGCCAGCCAGCTATCCAGTCGCTACAGATGCCGTTGTACGCTTTTCTGAACACGACCACAGTCTACGGGCACGCCAACTACAACGTCTTCGTCATTTTTGTTGCTGGTACTACGTTCATGTGCTATTCCATTTCCGGCGTGTGCTGTCTGGTCTAGGCTGCTACACTCAGGTCGGGTTTGGGAGATGCCCTGTGACGCTTTACGCTGTCCTTCATAGCAGAGTCCACTGTGGAAAGTGAGCTCTGCACTGCCCGATCAGTCGCCTCCAACACGGACTGCTTTAGAACCTGATGCTGGCCGTCTGCATGCAGGTTTGAAAGCACAGCCGTGCAAATGCAATTTTCTCACGGCTAGCTCAAAGCGCTCATGCTTTCCAGAGAGCGTGAGTTTGGGTTTTGCTGCAGAACTGTAAGTGAGAAGCTGGGGCCGTGGACGTCAGCATGTGCTACCCGATGCAACTTCCAAAATGGTGCCAACTACCCGTCCGCAACTTCTCTTGCCTCCACCGCATTTCGGAACGCCGATGCAAGGGCCTTCTCCTGCGTCTGGAGAGTCTCCCGCTCGATCCAGTGCTGCTCCTGATAGGAGTCGTGATTTCTAGTCATGGCTCATTGTGGAAAGTCTGTTCTCCACAGCCGAATGCACGGAAGTTGAAGGCAGACAGCGTGAACATGATACCTCGCAGAAATCCAATGCGACTGTGATCCAAGGTCAACCATGCCGTTCCATGTTGGGCAGTCCTTGAGCAGCGAAGGCAAATGCGCCTGCTTGGAGAGGGGCGGCTGCTCTACTTGTTCCTCCAGGGTTCCAAGATTGTGCACCATGCTGCTGGCACTGAACCCAAGCAGAATCATGCAGCATACAGACTGGCGGCTTTCTTGATGATACGACAGGGAGAGCCAAGGAAGAAAAGTCAGCCAAGCAGGAGTCAGCCACGACATAATTCCAACTGCGGCAGCTATGGCTTTGGAGAAGGCAATGAGCCTCAGCCATTTCATCCTCCACCCACTCAAGCTCTGTGGTTGTCGCCTGTACTCAGGGGCTGGATGCGGCACAAGAACTTTCAGAACGCCCTCTTCAGTCACTACCCTCATGCTGAACGGTGAACACCAGTCTAACTCGTGCAACCTCCTCGGCCAATTGAACTGCAATCTCATCATGCGGATTGACGAGGAATGAAGCTTCAAGGGCAAGCGGCCGTCTCCATAGTCTTGTGCTTCAGGCTGAGCCGCTGCATCTGCTTGCTCAGCATGGCACCTGGCGCACCTGGCCCGAGGCCACGTCCTCCCTCGAGACCACACATTGGCTACAACCGCGATGTGTCATTGCTGTTGCCGTGGCCACAACAGCTGCTGCGGCACTGCATCCCCAGAAAACAAGAGCTACAGTGGCACGGCCAAGCTCCAGCAAGTTCTGGGCAGCAGCAGCAGCAGCAGCAGCAGCGGCAGCGCGCAACTAGCAACAGCACCAGTAGTAGCAGCACCACCCCCGCTGCCCACCACCAGCGCCACAGCCACAACAGCAACAGCAGCAGCAGCAGCAGCAGCAATAACAACAACAACAGCACCAGCCACAGCAACGGCAACCACACCACCACCACCGCCGCCACCACCGCCGCCACCACCACCACCACCACAACAACAACAGCAGCAGCAACAGCAACAACAACAACTACAGCTACTACCAAAAGACGACGACGACTACTACGACGACGACGACGACGACACCCACT